AAAGAAAGAAAGAAAGAAAGAAAGAAAGAAAGAAAGAAAGAAAGAAAGAAAATATCACATTACATAAGCTTGGAGCCAGGCTCTGAGTCTCAACTGATCCATCTGAGAAAAGGGATTTCTCAACTGCCCTACCTCCAGTCTAACAGCCAATGTGCCCAGCTTCATGTAATGCTACCCAGGGCCTTGAGAACCTGGGCAAGTGCTCTGCCACTGAGCAGCACCCTCAGTCCTGAAAATGATTATTAATGAAGTCACTGACCTCGAGTCAAGCATGAAAATAAGTCAATCAAGCAGCTCCGAGGCACTCAGAGTAGCCATCTGAGAGACCCTGAAGTCAGGAGCACGGCCCCAGATCACACTGCAGAACAGAATCTGTCAAGGTCTGTTGTCATGGTTGTCCCTCCAGATCTGCAGGCTACACCCCCCACCCTCAGGTGCCACCATCTCCACTGTCCTGGGTATGCCAGCTTGCCACACACATGGTGCTCACCGTGGAGAACATCCATGGTCCTGGCTTTTCTGAACTACTAGCTCATGGGAGCAAGTGGGTTTGACTGTCAGAGCCTACATCTTGAGCCCTTGCTGGTGATCGAAGAGTAGGGTACAATGTTTTCTGTGGTAGGAAGCAGGCCCTGCCTCAGGATGGGGGAGCTCCCTATCACAGGAAGAAGGCTTCAATTCTGAGCAGCCAAAAGGGAAACTAAGAATCAAACAAATGTCAATATTAAAGTGGTCTGAAATGTACCAAGCTGTACACACCTGCCAAGGATGATTCTCATTCACTCTATAAATATTTCTGCAGCTCTAGAGAGGAGGAAGTCATGGTTCCTACCCTCAAAGACAGTTCCGTACCTTCAGGAGCCAATGACCCCTATCCTAGACAGTGGACCCTAGGGGAATCAGGGTGCCCAGATTCCATGGTAGTGAGTAATAAAAGACATCAGGTCCCAGGGGAGTAACCTGGGAGGAGGGCTGCTAAGGTTACCCCATACTTCCTTGGAGTTGGGCAACATCTCAGAAGCTCATTGTACCCAGGCACATTTATCAGCACATGGATGTCTTAGACCCACACCAGAGGAATTGGTCCACATCCACCTGTTCCCTGTTGATAATGTAGTTTCCTTGCTGGCTCTCCATTTGCCGTCTTCCAGTAATAAGATTCCAGTTTTCACGTGGGAAACTATTCTTTTATCACTTTCAGCTCCTGTGCTTCAGGTGGGGTTGACCCCCTGGTATGACAGTCACATGTAAACCATGTCTAGTCCATCAGCGTTGTAAAGCACCCTATGCTGGGCTATAAAGTATCATGCACCATGTGCAGCTGCAGAACGCCTTTTGTACCATGCACAGCTGCAGAACGCCTTTTGCACCATGCACAGCTGCAGAATGCCTTTTGCACCATGCACAGCTGCAGAGCACATTACAAACGGGGCAGAGGTGTACGGTGATTGGTTTAGAGAGTTCCATGGTTCACACTCCAAACCATGTGGTCCAAACAGAGCTGATCCTGGATATGTGGGGAACCAGGAAAGGTTGGTTCTCCATTCATCTGGATTTGCAAGCATGAGGGTGTTAGCCTGGAGTCGCTGCCAGCTCTCTTGCTACCACAGGGTCTAAAAACAGAGCAAGGGCAGGAGAGGTGGTTCAGTGGGTAAAAAACATCAGCTGCGCAAGCCCGACAACTTAACTTTGGGCCTCAGAACTCATGTAAAAAGCCAGATGCAGGGCTCGTGAGATGACTCAGAAGGTAAAGGCACTTGCTGCTAAGCCAAAATACCTGAGTTCAGGCCCAGGACGTATAGGATAGACGAAGAGACCAGAGTCCCCAAAGTTGTTATCGGGCCTCCACACATGCACTATGGCATGTACACACCCACACACACACAAAAAAAAATAAATGAATAAAAATATAATAGTGTTTTAAGCCAGATGCAATAGCAGGTTTTTGTAATCCCAGCATTTCTAGTGAGATGGGAGGTGAAGACAGGAACAGGAAGTTCAGTGGCCGCTAGCCTGGAGTACTTAGCACCAAAACTATAAGCAACCTTGCCTTAACAGGCATAAGGAGAGAACTGATTCCTGAAAGTTATCCTCTGACCATCACATGCATACATGGCACGTGTGCCCCACCCCCATAGGCAATAAGTAAATAAATAAATAGTATTTTTCTGAGATGGGGGTCTCCCTGTAACTACAGCTGGCCTGGAACTAACTCACTATGTAAACCAGGCTGGCCTTGCTCTCACAGAGATCCTCTTGCCTCTGCCTCCTGAGTGCTGGGATTAAAGGCATGGGCCACCACACCCAGCTAAATAAATAATTTTTTGATCTATCTATTTTTATTTTATGTGTATGAGTATATTGTCGCCCTCTTGGGCCTTCGCCACTCTTGATCTTGGGGGTGGTGCTAGGGCACACAGGAGGTGGAAGGTCAATCGGAAGCAGATGCAGTTTCGGTGAAGCGGCTGCTCATGCAGGGGTGAAATTTTCAGTGAGTCAC